TTGCACCAGGAACAAGGAGAAAATCTTATCACAAAAGCAACTTTGAACACAGCACGGATCATGAGTGCTGTATTTTGCAAAGTATGTTCAAAGCATTTCAGTCTAACTTTTCATGAAAGACACATCCTAGAAAATGCAAACTTTAAAATACAGGCTTAGAATGAAATTGTAAAGGTTTTTAGTAATTTTCCAGCATAAAATTTACTGCACTGACATGTGAGGACATACCACGCAAGGTATGTTGCCATTAACCCTGGTGTGTTGAAGGGCAATTGCAAACTCCATTTACTTCATTAAGAACTTCTATAGGGAATACACAATGGATTGGAAGGAGTAGTCTATGACGGCTCTAACATTAAAAATTAGAGCTTCCTTCTATCTTTTTCCAGTATTGCTGTTTAAGCTCTTCTGGTGATGCAGAACAGCAGCAAGATCATCTGGATGAATTGTGGTTTGCTTTTTTCCCCTCTTAGACTTCCTAAAAACGTGCAGTCTCTGTTCTTGGCAATAGGGATCAGCAACACATCCTCCAACACCGAGACTTCCTGTCGAGATACAAACATATTTACTAATCTGGCCACCATATCATACTTAGTGCTTGCCAGCTCCGCTACCGTGATAAGCAAAAGAATAGCACACACCATCCAAGCCTCAAGACTAAGGAAAAGGATGAGCTTCCGTTACAGGGGCCTACTATCTACTCCTGCTTCAGGGACACGAAGAGAATAGGAGGCAAGAAAATGATGATTTAGCACCTCTAGCACTACCCACTACTGAGGAAAGGCTATGAAGACACCATGCTGAAATCAAGTGGTAAAAAAATGATACCATGGAAACCGAACAAAAATAATCATTTGCTGTTACATCTCTATCCTAGACCAGGAAGCCCCTAACCTGCAAATCACCAGATGCTCAGCATACACTGGTGAAGTACCGTCACATTTCTGCCTTATTATTCTTTTCCTTACACCTCTGTTTCCAGCCATTTCCCAAAACAAAGTCCTGCCTTGCCCCGGTATCTGGCAGGACCAAATCCACCATTATGATGCTTTCAGATTCTGCTTCAAGGGTGCAGATGGTACACACACATTTACATGCTCGGCGAATCTGAGGATAAAGAAGAAGAAAACAGGAGGCAACCAGCAGAGTCCAAGCAGTCCCCGACGGAGGATGGCTGAACGGCGGAGCGGCTGAGAGGCGGCTCCGAAACAAAGGGACCTCCAGGCTGGAGGCAGCCGAGGCGGCCCCCCCGCCCGGGAACCACCGGGTGCAGACGCTCACAATGACCCCCCCGAGACTCTGGGATTTCCAGCTCCCGCACCTTGAGAGCGAA